TGAGAGAAAGAGACATGGATTGGGCTGGGGATCAAACCTTCAATCCAGGTACGTGCCCTTGACCGGGAATCGAACCTGCCATCCTTTAGTGTTCTGGCTGGAGCTCTAACCATTGAGCTACCTGTCAGGACAGCAATCAATTTTTAAAATCAAGTTATGCACATTTTTTTAGACACAATGCTATTGTGCACCCAGTAGACTACAGTATAATGTAAACGTAGCTTTTATATGTCTTGGGAAACAAAAAATATGGGTGGCTCAATTTATGAAACTATAATTAATAAAACTATAATTAATCACTTTAAGGGTTAAATAAGTCCATAATTTAAAGAGAACAAGAGTCAAATAAATAGATATTAAGTGTTTATGGTGTTGATTCATTGTTACATGACCCAATGCATATAAATAATTTTTACACCTATTAAAATAATGTGTAACATTTGCCAATAAACTTATTTAGGTATAATTTGCATATCATAGTCCACAAATCATAAGCATATATAGCTTGAAGAATTTATATAGGTGTATATGCCCAGGTAACACAATGCAGTTAAGATATAAATTATTTCCAGCACCTCACAAGCCCGTTGCCTCTCCTAGTCAGTACCTCTCTCAAAGGTACATTATTCTGACTTCTGTCACAATAGATTATTTTTGCTTGTTTTTGAACTTAATGTAAATGAAATTATACAATAGGTACTCTTTTTTTCAGCTTTATTGAGATATGATTAACATATAACATTGTGTAAGTGTAAGGTAAAACAATGAGATGTGTTTCTTAATTTCCAAACATTTGGGAGAATTTGTAGTTATCTTTTTTGTAGTAATTGATTTTTAGTGTAATTCTAGAAAGGTCACAAGTCACTTCATTCATAATTTAAATTCTTTGTTGAGATTTACTTTATTGTCTACGTATTGTCTCTTGATAAATGTTTTAGATGTACCTGAAAAGAATGCATATTCTGTAGTTGGGTTTAATGTTCTATGTTAGTTCAGGTAGGAATACTGGTTTCAAACGTTCTGTATACTTACGACATTTTTTTCTGTCTGATTATTCTGTCAATTACTGAGAAATGTTTATTAAGATCTGCAACTGTAATTGTGGGTTTATCTCTTTTCCTTTTAGTTCTTTCAGATTTGCTTTATGTATTTTAAAGCTGTGTTATTTGTCACATACAGATTTTATTATATCACCCAGTTCGTTGGACACATCATTGTGAAATGTGTTTCCTTTATCTATTTTAGTGGACTTTTTTTTAGTCCACTTACTCGTTTTTGAGGTATAATTCACATACTAAAATTCATTCTTTTAAATTCTACAATTAAATGGTTTTTAATATATTCACAAAGTTATACAACTACCACCATTATCTAATTGTGAACATTCCAGAAAGAAATCTCCTATTCATTAGTAGTAGTTCTCCCATATCCTCCTACCCTGAGTCCCTGGCAACCACCAATATACTTTCTGTCTCTATGGATTTGACTAATCTGGACATCTTGTTTATATGGAATCAAATAATATGTGGCCTTTTGTGTCTGACTTCTTTCATTTAGCAAAAGGCTTTTACTATTCATCCATGCAATGGCATGAATCAGCACTTCATTCTCTGTTTTAATAGCTGAATAATTTTATTATATGGACCTGGTACATTTTGTTTCTTCATCTTTCAGTTGATGGACACTTTGGTGGTTCATAGTTTTTGTCTATTATGAATAATATTGGTATGAATATCTATATACACGTTCTTGGTGGATATATGTTTTTATTTCTCTTGGTTTAATACCTAGGAATGGAATTGCTGGATCATAAGGTATTTGTATTTTGTAAAACTGCCAACCTGTTTTCTACAGTGACTGCAACATTTAAATTTCTACGAGCAATGAGTGAGGGTTCCAGTTTCTCCACATGCTTGCTTACTGGCGCATTCAATTTAAAAACTACAATAATGTACTGGGATTAAAGTTTACCATCTTGTTTTTTTTTTTTTTTATTCTTTCCTGCTTTCTTTTGGATTAATCAAGCATGTTTTATTTTTCAAAATGTTCTCCTCTATCAGATTTTTAGTTATACATTTATTTATTATTCTTTTAGTGGTCACCATAGAGATTGCAACTTTTATCTTTGACTTACTGCATTCTCTAAGATTGGACTTATTTCACTTCTCAAAAAATAGAGGACTCTTAAACTGTGTGCATGTACGTTTCCAATCCTCTGTGCTTTGTTTATTATAAACCTCTGAGGATATTATTTTTGTGTGTGCTTTAGTTAGCTTTAACACCAATATTTACGTAAATTTTCCTACATTTTGTTCTTTATTACACTCTTTGTTCATTTCTGTAGTTCTGGGGTCAGTTTCTTTTGGTGGGAAGAACGCTCCTTTTATTTTCCAGTTTTTCTGGTGGGAAATTCTTTCATCTTTTGTTTGAAAATAACTTACTTTACATGATTTTACAAGGAGGAGAATTCTAGGCTGGCAGTATTTTTCCTTTTATTAAGTTGAAGATTTTCTCCATTATCTTCTCATTTCCATTGAAATATCCTCTGACATTGTTATTATTGCTTCTTTGAAGTCAACTTGTCTTTTTTTTTTTTAAAGATTTTTAAAATATATATTTCTATCAATTTCAGAGAGGAAGGTAGAGGGAGAGAGAGTTAAAAACATCAATGATGAGAGAGAATCATTGATCGGCTGCCTCCTGCATTCCCCCTACTAGGGATTGAGCCCGTAACCCAGGCATGTGCCCCGGATTGTGATGGAACCTCGGACCAAACCCGGGACCTTTGAGTCTGAAGGCCGACGCCCTAGCCAGTGAGCCAGACCAGCTAGGGCTCAACTTGTCTCTTATTCTCTAGCTGTTTTTAAGAATGTCTTTGTTTTGTTTTTTTAAATAAATGCTATTTAAAAATCCTGCTTGAGGACTTCTTCAATCTGTAGTTGGATGACTTTCATCAGTTTTGAAAAGTTTTTGGCCATTATTTTTTCAAATATTGCTTTTGTCCCTTTCTCTCTTTCATTCTATTGCTTATCTCCGAGTTGCTAGCTTTAGACATATTTGAGACCTTTTACCAAGTCTCTTGTGTTTTATTCTGTTTTGTGGATTTCTGTTTCTATTGTCTTTGTTCTTCAGTGTAGAACCATCTGCTAGTTCACTAATCCTCTCTTTAGCCACGCCCATTGTTCTGTTAAACCCATCCATTGAGTTCTTAATTTCAGATATTTTATTTTTTGGATGAACATTTTTTTGTTTTTCATAATTACAATTTTCTTTTGAAGTACTTTATCTTTTCATCTATTTTATTATAAACATACTTTTCTCTGAACGCATTAATTATAAATATTTTTAACAGCTTGATACTGAATTCTTCTTACCAGTTGTGTCTCTCTCTTCTACCCATGTCTTGTCCTAGTGATTGCTTGTGAGTTAGGTCATATTGGATATTCCTGTCTTTCCTTAGAGTTTAGGCCAGTAGTGGGTTGCCATGAGACCTCGGTTTTCTGATGGATTCAAGAAAAGTGATGATTTTGTAGATTATCTGTCTTGTTGTTAAGCTGGGAGTGATGCTTTCTACATTATAACCAGAAGCCAGACATCCGTCATAGCCACTTTTAAGCCCCTTTCTGATAATTCTAAAATCTGAATCAAACGTGACTCTTTCTCTGTTTTGAATGCGTTTTTTCAAAATTTTGTTCATTTGTTCCTGTTTTCTTAAAGCTCGCCTTATAATGTTTATTGGCTACCAGACAAGGCGGATGAAAAATTTGCAAGGGGCCTGTAGAATGTTATTTTCCTCTGAAGAGAGTTAATTTTTCTTCTGAAAGTTCTGACCATGCCCGAGGCTTGGTTTGGGGCTTTGTTTGAGCTCCTCTGTTGCTATTTTGTCCTTAGTCCTGAGGCATGGCTTTTCTGGAGTCTCAGTTGAGAGTCCAGGTTTCTTTGTTTTGTTTGTGTTTTCAGTGCCCCTCTGTTTGGGGCAGTGCTTGCCAACCTCCATTTCCTCAGCTTGGCCAGCCTGTGAAATGTCTGCTGGGCCCACTAGTTACCCCGCAGCTGTTTTTTTGATAGGTTTCTTGGCATCTTGTCCTACATACTTACAAGCTGAGGAGTCAGTTCACAATTTGAGGGGAATTTCCATGTCTATTTTTGGACTCTTCCTCTACAGGTCTTTGAGGGGTGGCATTTTTTTACCCTGAATCCCCATCTGCTTTGATGACCCCAACATCCAACCTCTGCCTCTTCAGCCTAGTTACGCTATCATATTATCCTCAATCATTGATTTGTATAGTCTGTTATACAAAAGGAATAATTAAGTATGGACTTTGCTTCATGGGTTTTCTTCTCTCAAAGAATGTAGCCCCAGATATACTATTTGTATGGATTGCTTTCTTGTGCCTTCAGGCAAGAAGCTTTATATGATTTGTCTAAAATTCATAGTTATTCTCCTTGAGAATGTTAGTTTAATACACTGTCCTCCATAAATTGAAAAAAAAAGTACTCTATCTGTCCCTTCATCCTGAAATTTTACTAATGCTTAGCACAGTTCTTTAATATTGACCACTGTTGCAAATCTTTTCAAGGTACCAACTATGTTGAACTGATAAAAGTCAGTGCTTATATAACTAGAGGCCCAGTGCATGAAATTCGTGCAAGGGGCTCGGCCCTCGCAGCCCCGGTTTCATCCGGAAGGTCTTTCGGATGGTCGTTCTGCTGTTCGGTCTAATTAGCATATTAGCTCTTTATTATATAGGCTTATCACAAATCATAAAGGTTAACTAGTTAAAGACCTCAGTTTTATCTCCTGGAAAAAAAGCAGGTGTTTGGTACATCAGGAAAGATCTCCGAAAACTAGAGTAGAAATAGAGGAACAATACTAGCCCACCAAAGCTCTTTTAAGTAAACTTTAAATCTCACGTAATTTTCTGTTCTTTGAATTGTAGTCATTGGAAAGTTTTTATAGAAGCATAAATTCTTATCAAAGTCTCACTTTTGATCTCTAGGAAGATGAAGTCCTCGGTACATTCTGAAGAGGATGATTTTGTTCCAGAACTACACAGAAACGTCCACCCCCGAGAGCGGCCCGATTGGGAGGAAACACTGAGCGCAATGGTAAATCCGTGTTATGAATGTGGATGCATGCATTTATTACAATATATTTTTATCGATTTCAGAGAGGGAGAGGGAGAGATAGAAACAATGACCAGAGAGAATCATTGATTGGCTGCCTCCTGCACACCCCCTACTGGGGATCAAGCCCACAACCTGAGCATATGCCCTTGACTGGAATCAAACCCTTTGGTCTGCAAGCCGATCGATGCTCTAGCCACGGAGCCAAACCGGCTAGGGCAAATAATTATCAAACAAAGAGTAAAATAAAATTGGAAATGCACCTCTTCCTGAAATAGATATTTTGCAATTAGTGTATATATTTATGAGTACATATCACTTAATGCTGGAATGGATGCATGCATATTTTACTTACATAAGAAAGAGGAGCTGAAGAAGCCTTACTTACAGAAAATGTGTTGCTGTTGTTGCTTTGTTCTTTTATTGAGCAAAAATTTATTCCAGGCACTGGTTTAGACTCTGCGGGTAGAACCCTGAACAAAACACACGAATTTCCTGCCTTCGTGGAGCTTATATTTTAACGGGGTAGGAGGAAATGTGATTAATTAAATATATAAGATGTAAAGTGGTGGTATGTGCTATTGTAGAAAACGAATGCAGAGTAGTAGGGTTACAGAGGGTAGGGCAGTGTGAAAGGATAGTTGCTAGTTATACTAGTACACGGTGGGTACAGACAGCCTCTGGGACAGCGGTTCTCAACCTGTGGGTCGCGACCCCTTTGTGGGTCGCGACCCCTTTGGGGGTCGAACGACCCTTTCACAGGGGTCGTCTAAGACCATCAGAAAACACATATATGATTACACATTGTTTTTGTGATTAATCCCTATGCTTTAATTATGTTCAAATTGTAACAGTGAAATTGGGGGTCACCACAACATGAGGAACTGTATTAAAGGGTCGTGGCATTAGGAAGGTTGAGAACCACTGCTCTGGGAGGTGATTTATCTGGAACAGGTCATTTCAGGCAGTGGAAGAACAAGTTAAAGTCTGGGGCAGAGGATTAAAAAGCGTTGAGACAAACCCCCCAAATAGGACATGTCGCTGAAAGTGAGCCGGGGGAAAGTGGAAGGAGTTGAGGTCAGAGAAGGGGTTTGGGTGGGTGGAGAGCAGATCTTGTAGTTTCTTGTTGTCCATAAGGTCTTTGGTTTTTTCATTCGGGTGAGGGAGATCACTGGTGGATTTTTGGCTGAAAAGTAACATAATCCGGCTTAAAATTTTAAAGGGAGTCTCTGGTTGTTGTGAATAGGCTAAATGGGGAGTTAAAAGAGGAAATAAGGAGACCAGTTAGAAGATTATTGGATGAATGATAATGATAAGCTTGAACCAGGATGGTAGATAGGATGAAAAATGGTTAGATTCTGGATATAGTTTTACAGATAAAAGCCAACCGTTTGGGCTGATGAATGGGATACAGAGAGCGAGATAAAGAGAAGCCAAGGGTGACTTCAAGTGTTTTTGGCTTTGATCAACCTGAAGAATGGATTTTATATTCACTGAGATGTTGGAAAAGCACTTTTTGTTGGGGGATTAGGTGGACCAATCCCATGCAGTATAGTTTTCCACATAAATTTAAAATACCCATTTAATCTAGTATAACATGATGTAATTCCGGTCTCTTAATAAGAACAATGAAATCTTTCTGTGGAAAGTAACATTTTATTTAATTGTAATTAAAAGTTAGTGTTTCTCATCATGAAAATTGAATGCGAATGTTCATCTGTCAGTGCAGATCAGTAATGAGATTTTACATATTTCACTTTTGAAAATGCCTTTTCACTCGGATATGTCCTGCCAAATACTGACATCTGTGTGTGAGCATATGATTTTAATTGAGCGTATTCATTGCTTAGAAGGCATTTTCAGGACTCTATTAGATTATTCGTTTTAATATTTGCCTTTTAGCATAACATTGCAAACTTCGATTTGAAGGTTAGAAGGAAGCACCTCCGTTGCACAGTGAAGTGGATTTTGCAATATGGAAATTTACTTTGCATTTGCAGTGTAGTCTGAAAAGGCCTGCTGGAAGTGGAGTTGGAGCTTGGAAAATCTATGCACTGCAAGTTGATGTGGTGATGGAGATCTCCCATCTCGGTTACATGTTTGATAGCTGGAAAGGATGTATAACAGCTCATGATTACTTGCCATTCTGACAGTATTATCCCCGTGTAAGTTTTGCCTTGTAATTTTAGGTAGAATTCATTAAGAAATAGCACCAAACGTGCAGCAAAAACTAATTACAAAGGCCATTTAGTGTTCAGTAGCAGAGGTGGAAAGGATGTCCAATCCTTTCTCTGCTCCACACATATTTTTTTGCCCAAATCAGTTTTAATGTATCTTAGTAGATTCCACTTCAGGTTGTTCTGGACTAATGTTTGCTGAGTTTACTTGAGAATATTGTCGCCTGTAGTTTCCCTGTGCAGACTGTTCATAGGAGCTAATTCTTGAGCCATTTTAAACTTGGCATTGCCTCCTCGACCATTGAGCAATATTGGCTATGTTTGAGAGTCAAGGAAAGCCAATTGCAGTCATTTGCCTTGTTTTTTTAAAATATACTATTAATTTTGCTCCCAATAACCTCAACTCTTCAAACAGCCGTTCTGACCAAAAGGCTAATAGGCTTAAACAGTCTGTTTTCTCTGGATGCATTTCTTTGGCGGCTGCAGTCAAATACGATTTAATGGATTCACCACTGGTAGGTGGTACCATGACTTTCCTTGTTGGCTAACCAATGAGCTACCTGGAAATTTACTTTGGATGCAGTCTTGTTTCTGTTTTTGTGAAGAAGTCCTGTGTGGTGATAATAACCTTTTAGAATTTTGGAATTTTTCAGATCAAGGCTTTCCTATTAGTTGAGAATATTGTGATGAGTCCAGAGTTTGGTAATATTGATGTATATTCTATCTTTCAGCATAACTGTAGTGTCATTGGGTAATAAGCACAATGTTCTACCATCTGATTTGCCAACAAAACCCATACTCTTCTGTGCTTTTAAAGCGTGACATTCAAAGTCCACTTGTCTCTTCTTTGCTTATTTTTACATGATCGGTGCCAAGTGGTAATTTAAGAAATGTGGTATGGTGATACCTGTGGAACTTGAAATGCTGTTGAATTATAACTCAGCTAGAGGCCCGATGCATGAAATTCGTGCAAGAGGCTCGGCCCTCACAGCCCTGGCTTCATTCGGAAGGTCGTTTGGCTGTCTGGCCTAATTAGCATATTACACTTTTATTATTATAGATACTGCAGTTTATTGTGTGCGTGTGGATTGATGAGAGTGCCACGGAAGGTCTCTCACAGCTACTCAGCGCTGTCATTGTAAAATGAGAGCAGCCACAGATAATACATTGAGTGTAGCTGTGTCCCCATAAAATGTTATTTGTGGACACTGATATTTGAATGTCATGTAATTTTCACATGTCATTAGATAATCATACTTTTGATTCCCCCCTACCCCTAACATTAAAAAAATTTAAAAAACATTTTTAGCTTATGGGCTACACAGAAGCAGGCAGTGGGTGGGTTGGCCCTGGATTCATGGCCCCTGCCTTGTTATATAATTGTAACTTAAGAGGTAAGACTCTCTTAAACCTTCCAGACAGAAAAGGGTTTTATTTTACTTCTCATATGTTATTCATATCTCTCTTGTAATACTTACTCTCATCCTAGTTGGCTAGTCATATTTCTATTGTAATACCTACTCTCATCCTAGTTGGCTGTTTTCCTTACCATATTGTGAGATCTCTGAGGAGGCATGGGGATCATTTTGTATTCATTTTACTGAAGGATGAAGTTTAGAAGAGGATGTAAGCATGACTCTCAGACAAATATAAAATGAACACATACCGAAGATATTTCACTCATTAATTAATGAAGGAATCAGTCAAGTGTTACAACTGATTCAAAGGAGAATTTGATGTTACAAGTTCACCTTTCTGCGGAGGTGTAAAATAGCCAGGCAAACAAAGCAAGCCCCACACCCCTGTGGAATCAGGTAATCCCTGGAGGTGCCAGCATTCCATTGAAAGGATGGATATTCAGTAATCTCTGCCATTTTTAAATCTTCCACATTTGCCTCATACAATTCTTATAACCTCCCCGAAATCTACATTGAATTTATCGAATGGGAAGAAAGGTGTTATCTGTTAGTATATGGTGGTTTGTATTAAAATGTCATATGCTACATACATTGAAAGCTAATGAATTATCCTTTTTGGAGTCCACATTGATATGTTTATGGAAATTACCAATTATATCATCCTAGAGGCCCGATGCATGAGCAGGCCTTCTTTCCCCAGGCTGCCGACACCGGCTTCCCTCTCGCACCCAGGACCCGGGTGTCCCTTGCAGCCCTGTCTGGAAGGACTTCTGGTCTGATTAGCATATTACGCTTCCATTATTATAGATGTGGTAGCACCTTATTGTATTATTAGTTTGGTATACTAATGTTTTCATGTGTAAGTTTATTTTGTTTTGATTTTTTTAATTCTCACTTGAGGATCTCTATCCCATTGAAAAATATCCTCAAGTGAGGATTAACAGTCAATGACATGTCTTTCCGTGTTCAGGTTACACATCTCCTTGGTTAAGTTTATTCTTGATGTTTTATTCTTTTTGATGTAATTATAAATGGGATTGTTTTATTAATTTCTCTTTCTGATGGTTTGTTATTTGCCTTGAGAAGTACAACTGATTTTTGTCTAATGATTTTATATCCTGCAACTTTGAGTTCATTTATTGGTACTCAGTTTTTTGGTGGTACCTTTAGGGTTTTCTGTATGTCACCTGCAAATAGTGACAGTTTTATTTCTTCCTTTCTAAATTGGTTGCCTTTTTTTTTCTTCTTGCCTAATTGCTCTGGCTGGGACTATGTTAAAAAGACAAGGTGAGAGAGAGGAGGCATCTTTGTCTTGTTCTTGATTTTGGAAGAAAAGCTTTCATGTTTGAGTATGATGTTAGCTGTGGGCTTGCCATATATGGCTTTA